AAAGATAATACCATGTCACAAATATCAGTTTCGTTGTAAGAAAAATATCGTATTTCATTGTAAATCTAAATCATAAATATGTATTTCTCTGGATGTCTTTTTTATATGAAAATGTTAATTAAATTTATTAATGTCTAAATAGTTTAGAAACTGTATAATGTAATTTCATAGCTAATTAGTATTTAATAAAACTTAAATTATATTAGTGTGTATATTAATTACCAATTTATATTATGCGGGTAGTTTAATATTTGTGAACACGCGCCCCGCAATATCTTGCCAATTAAATATTAATAATTTAGTTACCCACTCTTCGATTATTGGGTTATATATTGAGCAACAGTATTTAATAAGTAATTAATTATGTCAAATTAAGACGACGGCGTTTGAGATGTTTGTAATGAGAACAGTTTCAAATTAAATACTTCTCATTAAGTTTGCGAATTTCTCAAGTAAGTAGTCGGGGTGTCGTTTAGTATGCAAAAATTCTGTCCGTTCGTGAGCTAAATTTGGTTGTTATAAATCAAATGTTATATAATCAAGGAATGTACGGTGCTGAAAGACCGACTTCTCAATATATAGTTTTTTGCTAGCTTTGATCGAACATGACGAATGACGAATGATGATAAAATTACAAATCTTTTATAAATGCAATTCAATCCCGTCCATACTGTACAAAGCTAAAGTAGATGAAAATTAAGCCGTTGGCGACTTAAATCTCCTTAACAACTGAAGTCTGAATAAAGGAAATTTACTTTACATTTTTTAGTATCTGAAATCGAAAAAGAGACGTACAATTTTTATCCTGTATCACTATTTCGTATTGTTTTGTAAGTTCGCTACATAATAGCTCGTTGTGAGTTAGGACAGCTATCGCATCAGTAAATGGAGTGTCCGCGAACGAACCGCAGGGAGAAGATATCGATATCGATGGCTTTGTGCCAGCCGTCGAATGTTATCGACATGTGCAGCACGACACTAGCATGCTGTTTGTCGATGTGTACACTACACTAGCCACTAGTGTATCGCGTAAGCTGTGCATTTTGATTGGATAACATTCACATCTTCTGAAGATGAAAGGAAGACTATCGCATAGGGGATTTAACCTATTATTTATGTTGCGATACATATAATTTTTTATTTTACTTTTATAAAAGATAAAGTTACGACTTTAAATAGTTAATGTGAACTAAAACGAAATATTTCTATGTTATATTCCATAATATTGCTGATATGTGACTTACATAATTCTGAAACATAAGTAGCTCTATTCACATACTCCCGCCTCATACGTGTCTTGTAAATTTTTAATCGTCATGACTTTACAGAAAAAGCTACTGAACATATTTTAAGCTAGATATCCACTGTGGCGTTCTGCCAAACAGCTCGAATATCCTCCGCGGAATCCTTAACGTGTAACACAACACTTACCACCGAATACACTGTGATATTTGCCAGCAGGCCCCCAACGAAACAGGCTTAGATTAAACCTGGTGATAACGGTCGCTAGCGTTACTGTCTGCCTACATTTTATATCTTTAATTAATATACATAAAATATACAAGGCATTTTTTTTTTAAATTTCGTTGTTGTCATTACGAATTTGTCTATTTTGATAAGAATAAACCGCGAATTTTACGGACGTTCAAATGTTATTTTTTTGCTGACGCATTGAATTACGCTCGACTGACGTGTTTCAGTGTGAAACATTGGAACATTTTATATAATGTTTTAGTATCAATATGTAGTTCCTCGGAGGTTAAGCTGTTTGAAACTTTTTGTAGAGAAAATGTAAGCATGACAAAAAAAGTAAAAACTATAGATACATTAAATTTTATTCTTCCTACAACTTAAATTTTTTATTCGTATTGAACAGAAATAAAATGTACGAGTAAAAATAAAATCGTATAATTAATTGGATGGCAAAATTTGTATGTATTTTTATATTTGTGGAAACATTTCTTTTCGCAGATCATTTCGTATACTTATGTTAATGCTGTTCGGTGCTGATGATGGATATAAAAATAAAATATTTCACGCTGAGTACATCCAACTTTGGCGGTTTGCCAGAGCTTGAAAAACAAATGTTTTACAAATATTTGTCCCGTTTTATTTTGCATGGCTCTTAACTTGGAAAATTTTATCTATAATTTTTCAATTGACTTGTTCGACACGTATTAATTTTATATTTTAATATGTTGTAAGTGTTATAGTCGTATACGTAATTAGGATATTTCGCGGTGTCGTTTAAAATTTGTCAAAGCTTTTTAATTTGTTTGGCATACGATCTATAAATTTGAAGGGTGATGTTAACGAGCTCGTGTCATTTGTCCGGAAACTTATGGCGTTCTGCCAGACGGGTTGTCGTACGTTTTCAATGTTCAATGACAAATATCATATCATATCAATAACCGCGACGACTCTGTTACACACACCTTAAACTCAAACCGAAACAGAGACGGGACAAACTTTCAATAGCATTCCCGATATATGTCATATTTATTTAATTATTTATTCACTATAAGTTCCTTTTAGATACACGTAATATTAAATTATGAATATCATTGCCATATTCAGTAAGGGATTTCTATAATGAAGGAAGTATTATTTATTTTATTTTGTTCATATTAAGTTTCTCGTTATGAATGTACTCAACATATTTGTATGTCTCAAATAACTGTGACGTTGAACCGTTGTTTATTGACATACATGGTTTTAAGTTAATATCATACAAGCCGTGGTTACAGCCTTCAGGCTGTTTAATTTAGACCCTATTTCCACTGGATTATATAAATACGACTGAAATTTCATCGGCCAGAAAGCTTTTATAGTCTTTAATAGAGATTTTATCATTAGAATGAATTGCTTCTCCGAATATAAATCGATTTGGAAGACTGAAAAGATATAATTTATTTTCCATTGTTTTTATGTTTAATAAGAATTACTAAGTTATCATTCGACGAGGTATTATGTTCGTTACACATACATACATTGAAAATTGTCGGTGTATTTGTGTACTATTCAAAGGCGATTAATTGCTCTATTATGGTAAATGTACTGTTGGAATATTCTGTTCGGATAACAAAAGCAATGATATTAGCACGTATTAAAAATGATCATTGATTGTTTATAGTTTTTATGTGTTTAAAAATGAAACAAAGGATTCCACTTGTGTTATTTTCTAGTATACTTTTTGCTATTAACGATTAATTATCTATTGCAGTGTTTTAATATATAATTGATGTATGTATAACCGATTTATAAGATAACTTTTTCTGTAAATATAATACGGAAATTGTAATAATGAAACTAAAAAAAGGTCGTGTGCTACAAAAAATCTTATAGTTCTCCTACTGAACTATCCAAAAGTTATATCTTGACGTCATTCTGTCAATTACATTATTATTAGTTAATGGTTTCAGTTATTTGTATTGGTATATCTTTGTCATACTTTTAATTCCTGCTTCATTACAAAAAATATGTAACGAAAAATAATACAGTCGTAGTACGTCTCATAAAACCGGTCATATAATCGTAACTGGGCTAAAATATTGTGTATTTAATTTTATTTATCAATCTTTAAAGTTATATCAAAGAGATTGTTAGATTGTTGCATAATTCTGTTATGATATTGCGAACTTGATCAAACACGATTAAATCTATCCGCCCACGTCTCGACATCTGAAGGCGAACTAGGAAATCTTGCTAGCATATCATATACATAACAGGTTTTTTGTTTTCGCTAAATGTATCAATAAATCATTGTTAGTGTTTAAATAACAGAAGTACATTTTGTTTAATGATGTCTAAGAATCTCGAGTGTCGTATTTAAAATGAAAGTATGTGGGCAGAAGAGATGAAAATGTCAATGAACACTGTTGCTGTAAAGTAATCGAAATGTAAGAAAATGTAAAATTAAATAATTAAAACCGCGTAATATATAAACAAAAAATCGAATATTTGTGTTGTTTTGTTCTACCTGTTGATATATTTATAAAACACTTGAAAGAGTAACTCTAATATCAAGTTAACGTAGAGCCAATCATTTCGTAAGTTACAACTTATGCTATAAGTGCTTAAGTTTTAAGATTCTGAATTCGGAGTTAACTTTGCTAATCTCTTCGGGAGCTATTTATTAATTACTCGATATTAATTGCTATAAAATATTTTCATTTCCAATAGTTTGAAATTTATTCGATGAGAAAATTATCAAAAATTTCTGTTGTAAATGAATTTGAATTATTAAATTTATTAAGTTATGCAATAGTTTTTGTTTAAATCTAGTTGGTAAGAAGCTAGTTTTGAATGAATTCGTGATCAAATTTTTGTACCGATTACAGACTTGCATGAAATAGTTGACAAGTTATGATGTAATTTGGGTAATATTACCAATTTAATAGACGTCAATGCTGTGTTCATTGGTGCGTTTATTCAGCGGAGTGCCAAAATACGTTTTAGCTCCAGTGAATTATAGTCATTTATATAAATACATACATTTATACTGCTATTGAGTTTGTTTAGTTTTGTTTACATTGTCTATGAAAAATTGAATTAATAGTGATACATTACTATTGAATTATAACTAAGAAAATGTGATTTTTTATGAAAATTTCCACTTTCGTATTGTGGTATTATTCAAAATATATTAGTGAACGTGTGTTAACAAGTGTATACGTTCTCTTGCCAAACTATCTACTTCACGCTTCACTAAGCCCGCTCCGTGCATTGAACGCGGAATACGCTGACATCTTTTTTTTTATATTGATCACATGAAAGCGTAAATGTTCCAAGTATGGCCCATGTTGGACCAGCTTGGAATTGAATCTACCGTCAACAAAAGACGACGTCGCCATTGTTGATGAACTATATTATAAGGCACTTGAAAGTCATGCTGTTAAATTATACGATACATACATACATATACAGTTTAGAGAAAAGTTGCAGCCTTTTTAACATCCTCCTGTGAGATGTATAATAATGTTTCGTGTTTTTGTTCATAGATGCGGTCTGCACGCTGATTTTACAGAGTTGACAGCGTGTGTGGGCGGGGAGTTGGATAGACACGAAGGTTCTGCTGTACATCGGAGATACTTCTACATAACTCTCCTAAGAGAACCTGTTTCAAGGTAAATGGTGAACACGATTTTTAGTTACTTCTTTTTCCTCACAACTTTGCATGAACTTCAGGAATGGAATGGGGTCAGAGATAAAGTTTATAAAGGCGATAGATTTGGAAACCAATCAGTAGCGACATCTATAGGCATAGTTATAATCTTTCTCATAGGATTTCTTATACATGCAACCGTACATCCTTACATTCTCGCTAACATTCATATTAGTGCGATGTTTTCAAACATTTATTACTATATTTATCATATTAGCTTTATTTTATTACCTAAGTAGAAACAAAGTACAAAATTATATGAAAATTTTTTGGGTGATTGCTTGATTAACAAATCAGTTCAGATACAATATCTATATCATATAAATGTTCTCCCAATACATGTTCATTCCCTAACTGCTGGCCGAAAGATATTACAGAATAGTTGTTCGCTACGCCACATCGTAAAGTATCAAATAATATTTTTATTTCCTCAATTTTTATTGGACTTGAGAGAACCCTTTTCCTTATGTATATATATTTTCATCCCTTTTATTATATTTCTATTTCTAATATATACGATGTGAACCCGAGTAAGATATGAAAATAGCTGGATCTGACCTTAATAATGCGGTACAAACGTCCAAATTATTCATGATTCCAATACCAGAATCTGCTTTATGTTCATACTTCAATCTGAGGCTTTGAATTTGAGGGTCTATCACATAATTATATGAATATCAATACCTTTATAAAATTGTACTCTCTTCGTTTTTGATGTCCGAGTGTATTTAATAATTTAACTATTATATGTATATCGAAGATATTTAAAGTATACTTCTCTGTCTGCCTGTTTGTTATAACTGATTAGTACATAATTTATGGGAATTTATTTGTCCGATAAATTATGTTGAAACAGAAAATAAAAATTACAATTTGAAGCTCATTCAATTCAGACACAAAAAGGATTATATTGTGGGGAAGAAGTAATTGTTTAATTTGATGCATACGCATTTCGAATGGATTATTTTCAGAAGTAACAAAATTTATAGGGTAAGGAGGTAACCAGGTTTCTTTCTTAGTCCCTACATAACACTTAATTTGTTAGTTTCTATAAGAAAATATTACAAAATATTTCTAGTGACTAATCATACCGTTGTTAATTATGAAAAATATTTCATGTAATATTAGAATGTACTCTATTATGACAAATAAACATGTGGCAGTAGGAATATATATGAAAAAATGAAATTTTTAGTATTTCCTCATTTCAAGGTATTTGTCCGAGTTCCGTCACGTTAAGCGAGGGGCTACATGGAAAGGGTCCAGACACTGGTGTCAGGGGCGGACCGCTACTGGTAAGAGCATATTTATATATACGTATTTAATAAGTTAGATTTTTCTGATTTAATTTTTTGTGCATCTTTCGCATGTCGCGTTACATCCGGCCGCGGAGTAGGGATTCATCTAAACTTCAAGTCAAGTATCTATATTACAAATACGATGAGGGCCCTTTATTTCGTTCCTATTGTTCAGGTTCCCCAAAGAAGTTTACATGAGTATATTATAACAGTTAAACTATAGCAACATTAAGGATGTAACTTTGAATTTTTGAATTTCTCTCGTTCAAGATATTCCTAGCAATTTTTTGGTTCGAACAAACTTAGGTTAAAACCTAACAAACCATTCTGCGTTCGCCTTCAACCGTACAATATATAATTCAAAACGCTTTACATATGTACATATTTGCAACGTTTATTTCTCCGTAAGTTGTAGTAGTCATGCTATGTTTGGGCCAAATTGGTCCAAATTGGGCCACATCTATACATATGATTGTGGTAATGTGTATTGACATTCACGTAAAACATAATGAATTCAGTTACAAACAGGAAATAACGATGGTAGCAATCGAATGAAATTTATAAATATTATAAATGTGTGGGTATGATCATAATTAAAATTTTACCGCCGCGATATACCTATATTACGTTTTCAATGAAAAGAAATTACAGATTGGTCAGTTTTATGGATGCGATGCTTGTATTTTATTTAAATATATTTTAATTTATCTGTAAGTTACACAAGGTGTATAATTTGTTTCGTTTTGTTTATATTTAAGTAAGAAAGTATTAAAATTTAATAAAGTAATATATAAATTACTTATCTCGATTTTTTTAATGTGAAAACACGCTTTTTGTTCCTAATGTAAGTTTATTTGTAATAAATACACTTCTCTCAGACAAATGAATAAACAACTCTTCTATGACCGTAATTGTAACCTAAGTTATTGATTAAACATTAAGTTATTGTTGAATTAAAATATAAAATTAATAAAAATAAAGGTAAAAATATATTTTTATTATAATAAATACACTCCGTTTGTTTTTATTTTATTACGATTATAATATTACCAATACAGTCTGTGCGGAAGTTCCGCAATGATATATCGAAAAATAACCATGCATTGTTTTATTACAATTCGTATATTTTTATCACATAATATCATAATTTATTTATATAAATATTAACAAATACTACTTTTATAATCATAGTAATTAAGCATCGTTTATTATATAGAGCGATGAAAGTAAAAGTAATGCTATTATGTATGTATCTAGCTGCGGAAGTTCCGCCATGCTATACCGGGGAGTCCTGGCGCGGGGTTACTCTAGAAGAGTTCGCGTCGTGTTCCTGGAACCTGGCTAATAATAGGCAGACGCGGATGTTAGCTGATCTGGCGCTGGTAGGATGTTACAACGGCACCCTAAGACATCGAACATCTGACACGGATAGAGTACTATTGGCATCCGCGAAGAGAAACCTTGCTGCTATGTCATATTTTGGACTTACGGAGTTTCAGAAGGTGAGTAATAAATACATTTTTACGAAAATATATGTAAAAAAGAATATTATTTTGTATATAAGACAAAACATATAATTTCTTGATATTTAAATCGGTTTAAAATTTTAACCAAATTAACGTATACCAATCAAGCTAGGTATTTAGTTTTCATGAAACTTAATGACTATTATTGTTTTACCTGTTATCGATTGACCGAAAAACAGATTTAATTTCCAAATTAAATTACATCAAACAAATACATGTTCAAATTATATTATTCCAAAAACAATTTATCGTAGATTTTAGTAATACATTATTTGCCCTTATTATGTGTACATAAATTCTATTCAATATCATTATATATTTTATAAAGAGCTTTTCAAAGTAAAAGGAAGATAGTGTTCTTAAAAACCAAAGATAAAATTTTCTTTTTACTTATCCTTAAGGTGAATCATAAGAAACTATGCTTGTCATTTATGTGTACTATATTATATACTAGCTGTGCCCGTGACTTCGTTCGCGTGGAATAGTGAATACGAGCAGCGTTTTTTTGACATAACTTTTTTATTTATGAACCGATTGACATGAAACAAACACTAAAGCACAATTGAAGCATACCACAATATATTCGTGAAAACGGCATCCAACTCGGATCAGCCGTTTCTGAGATTAGCGTGAACAGACAAACAGACAAAAAAAAGTTAATTACATTTTTGGGTTCGACATCGACATAACAATAACCCCTGCTATTTTTTTTATTTTTATTTTCAATATACAGACATCACTTTTTTACAATTTTATTATATGTATAGATAATACATAGTATATTGTTAATAATATATGTACATATATAGTATCTTGGTCTAGTTTTAAACGCATCTACCAAAGTCTATGAACCCCTGAACCCCACTGACTGAATATTTTCACATCACAGAGCGTGAACCATTCGCCACTACTATATTATCTCATTTGTATGTAATGCTGTTAGCTTGACGTTACAACTAATAGAGACTGAGTTATTAAAGTTCTTGTATATAGCTTTGAATACTTATATTGATGTATATATAGTAGTTTAAATTAACGTAATATTTGTCTTATTACTACTTCTTCCTGGCAATTTCCTAGCTTTTAGCCAGGCTCTTACATGTTGTAAATAGTTTTGGCTAATTGTTTTTACGACCGGCTGCCTGGTTGACATCAACCCTCTTTGGGAATTATATTTTTCGGATTATTTTAAACTACATAATTCTGAAGTTTCGGTTACTTTGCAGCAACTATGATCACGGACAGACGATATGTGAATGTCTGTGATTTCTTCTGGTTATTTATAATTATTTTTATTGATTATTATGTTTAAAATTCACAGGAGTCATTTCATTGAAATGAAAATTATAATATAATACCATTTTCTCGTTACGCGGAAAAGGGGAAATTATTTGAAGTCGGCTGCGTTTTAAGTTTCTTTTAAAAAATCTACAGAATATTGCGTTAACTGTAGAGATATTTTTTTTACTTTAGGAATGTTTCTATGCTCTTAACTAACAAAAATATTACATTCTTCTCCTACTATATGTATTGTAGAAGCTTCTATTTAAGTGAAAATATATAGTATTATACATAAATATATTAAAATAAAAACGCATGAAATCACGACTCCGTTCTTTAAATAAAGTAAGTATTCATAATTTCAAATGAACGTAGTTTTAATTATTTATGGGTCCCGTCGAGAGGCTCCTTTGTTGCGAAACTTTATGACGGACGCGTTTAATGATTAAATGAAATGAAAATTAAAAAAAATTATATAATATAATACCACTTTCTCGTTACTCGGAAAAGGGGAAATTCTTTGAAGTCGGCTGCGTTTTAAGTTTCTTTTAAAAAAATCTACAGAATATTGCGTTAACTGTAGAGATATTCATTTTTACTTTATGGTTTCCGAGAGTCAAAGTTTATAGTGAATTGAGTTTGGCGAGCAGTTTGTATGAAGTTTTTCGATTCATTTCAACTTTAAGTTAACAATAATGTGATATAAGTTTTGTTTAAAACAAACTAGGAATTCAAGATTACTCTCGAGGAGAAAAAAGTTTTTCGTTGTTTATATGATGCTTATGATTTTATTTTAAAATGACTAGATACAAGTGGATAATAAATATTTTAATTTTTTTAACAGTTGAAATTTATTACTTGAATAAAATACGAGACGAGAATGTTATTGAAGACACATTAATATGATCCACGATCACGGTTACTGAAAAATGATATAAGCGGCAAAATTGTTTTAGTACAACAAAATTTTGATAAATATATAATAATGTACAATAGATGATCAAGATTTTTTTTCCATGAGCTTTATTGAAAACTATAGATCTCAGATATAAGAAGATAGTTGTCGACTCTAAAGCATTGGTATACAAAAATTTTTCCCTTTAAAAATAATGAATATGTTGTCAATTTGGAGATACTAACACTCAAAAGTCGACTGAGTTTCATACCTATCAAATAAAATAAAAACTTACTAAACTGTTTGGAACGTAATAAATAAGGGACATAAAAAACAATACACCCTCACTATCGTTAAAAAACAAAAAATAATTTTATACCAAAATCATGTCAAATTTTATTTTAATAATGTCCTCAATCCTCCGAATGACTGGAAATAATCCATCAGTTTTATTTCCACCTATCCTCAAAACTATATAGCATGGTGTAATGAATGTCCCATTGAACGCGAGGTCAACGACCGCACCAGATAAGAGCAGCTATTATTTGCACTTAGCTTATTGTTCATGTATGCAACATTTGTCTATTCGCCATTCTGCCCACCGTCATATTGCATATTGTTACCATGAATATTTATCAACCGTTCCCAGAATATACGCTCAGTTGGATTTTGAGAAAATTTTCGTCCTGAATATTTTTCATATTTCTATAGACGTCCGCATTGAAACGCTTTCTGATAAATGGATATGATTATTGACAGTCTATAAGTATTTAATTCTCAAAGTTGGAGAACTTTTTATGAAATATTTTAAATTGTTCATACAAAGATGACGTAATATTATTTGTCAGTCAAATGATCTTAATATAAATGTACATAAGTATATTTAATAGAAGACTGTTTAAAATTATACTGTCTAGTAAAGAGGACGGACTTCCAATATAAGTCTACATTTTGATGATTATAAATATTGAATTGAACTTTGTAGAATAATTTCATCTACATATTGTATTTTCATTGAGCAATAATCAATGAGTTGTTTTTATATCACGTTGACTTCATAATAGCCCATTAATTGATAAAATAATTTTGCAGAATCAAGTGTAATTATAAACAAAAGAGTGATTACGAATATTGTATGTCACTTTATTGGATTAATTCCATAAAAACGAATTTAAAAAAAAACTTTAAAAGATAAATTTTATATTTTAGATATACGTTTAAATAAATAAATAAAATAAAAAGTACATATTTAATTAATATAATTTCTTCAAAAATCACTGATACTTATTTTAAACACAAACAGTTGTTTTTTGATTCGATGTCATATAGTCAATTTCTTCAAATTAAGCTATTTGGATTCGGTACATACGTTTCCGACAAAATAATGTTCAAACCCAAAAATTTACGTTCGTTCATACATTTGAGTCAGGCCGCGTTCTTCGAGCCCCAATGGTAACGAGCTATCTTCCTCAGATATCCCAATACGTCTTCGAGGAGACCTTCAACCTTCGTTTCGCGGTTCCCTTCACGCAGCACAACGCGACTGTCTCCGGAGCGACCCTGGCTGCTCTCACACCAGCCCAAGTGGATCACATCAAGCGACTCAACTCTCTCGACCTGGAATTGTACGAGTTCGCCAAGAATCTCATGTTCAAACGGTACGTACTACCTTGACTTGTTTATCATATCTTTTTATTGGTGTATAATTTTTTTCCATTCAAATCTGATAATTGGGAGTTAATGTGCAAGACCGGAATGATTTGAGAATGTTACTTTATTTTTTTTTTGATAGAATGTCTCTAATCTTAATATTCATTAACTTTTTAGTATACCAAAATCTCAAACAATCGAAAAGTACACATTCTTGTACGTAATTTGTATGTCTGTTGGTGGTGATCATTTTTTTTTTGTTTGAAATATACGAAATAATTTATATTCTAAGTCCGAATTATATCAATAACAGTTTCGAAGCGTTGAAACACCGTGACAGTGACTTCGAGTACCGCTGGCGTCACTTGGGCGAGGTCGCCCGCAGCGGAGTCACCGAATTTGATTGGGATAGCAACTTAGAAGACGCTACTACTGAGAAATCTAGAGGTTTGGATGACATATGAATAATTTAAGGCGAAAAATATATAATATATGAAATTCACCTTTAATAATATTATAAAACTGAAGGGATTTTTTGCTTGCTTGTGTACAGTAATGTCATGAGCAATGCTCTGAACTGATTTTTTCTTAACTTTAAATATCCTATTTATAGACTATGAACCATTAGGCTATTTAGTTGGATATGAAAAATTGGGCTTATTTAAAAGTAGTATTTTATATTTTTGATCTTGCATAGACCGAAATCCTAGGTATAAACTGATTTATACATAGATATTTCCTCTAAAATTTACTTGTCTTCCTTTATTCTGATAGCTTTGGATAGTGTACAATGGCCATTTTACTAATCATAATAACGACAGTCTAAGTAATACACTCAAAGGGTTTACTTATCACATTAATTTCAACCGTTGTTTGACTTGTCAGACCGCGTTCACGGCGACACCTAACGATCCGAGTACGACACGACTTTTATCACATACGATTTTTTCTCTTTCAGGTAAATCAATTAAATCGAAGAAGCTTTGAAGACGTTCATCGGATGAGTATTATTGGTGCATACGTATATATAAGGATAAACGAGCCATGATTTATCTTTATTTTTATATGTAAATTTAATAACGATCGATATAATAATCAATAATAATATAATTGTTCTAAGTGTAAATGTTCATTACTCTTATTTTACACTAGTCCGATTTAAACGTCCGTTTGTAACGAAGTAACCAAAACATAGTTAATTTGTACTTATACTTTTTTTGGCATCTGTTAACTGGCATTTAAAAAAATATATTATGTTTTAATACAATAATTTTTAAACAGTAAATACTCTTTCATATGTATCAATATAGATAATATTTGACATTTACTGACAGCTGTCATTCGCTACTGACAAGTCATCTGTCAAAGAGATGGAGTGTTGTAAATAGATTTGTATATTTAAGGTTGTATTTAAATATATAAGCTAGATATATAACCTCGTTGTATATGATATATAATTACGCAGCTTATTTTATTAGGTTTGATATACACTACGACGTCCGATGTCCGATTGATCGGCGTCTTGAGATTACGTCTGTCAATATGATCTGTCATATTGCTACGAAGTGTTCGATGGTTGTTTGTGAAAGTGTAATGCTGTTATTCCATCCCGGTATCCATTAATTGTATAGTTAGTACGTTGACATTTAATAGTACAGGGTGGGTAATGCATCTGATATGAGCCCAACGAAATTTTAACCTAGTATATAACGTCGATAGGGTACAAAATTGAACAGCGAACAGTATTTAATTAAATGTCAAAGATCACAAGACAGCGAAGATATTCAGTGGATGTGCTTTTGCGTTATTGTGTTATTGTGTAATCATGTTTGTATGATATATAGAACCTTTGATCTGCCAATACTTGGGATAATTGAGATATCATTGGTACAATAGTTATTCAGTAATCCGACTCTGGCTTAATTTCCGTTCGTCATTTACTTGGTATTCTACACACGATCGAGTTACCTTACGTCAAGAATACTATATAAATTTACGACAATATTTTTAAACCGTTGTACACATATCCGACGATTCCGTCGCTGGCTCAGCTAACAAAATTTTTGAAGGAATATTTTCTAAGCCACGCTTAGTTGACATTTTCTGGAGTTATTTCGAGACTAAAAGCTCCAAAGGCAGCAGGTGCTATGGAAAGCCTAAATATCTATGTGAATATCTCTTGAATAATTTAACAGAGCACACAGCACTGTATAAAACTGCGGCTCTATGCAATTTAGTTCGTATAAAATGTATCTGGGTTGGTTCTTATGAAAAATAGCGCTGCTTGCATACTTTATGATTCGGCGGCGAAGTGACGTCTCTGCGGCGGTATATAAAATTATATTTTACCGTCAGGCGTGTTTTTCATTCTTAATTGATTAATAAGTTGGGGTTATCATTTTTTTAATACGAGTCAATAGGTTTTTGCTGTAATAAAAACAGAGATCACGCAGATAAGTGAGTTCACGAATTATTATAAATATATTATCACCTACAAAGACATTATAATTCGAGTAACGTTCGTCTAAAACTGTATTCCCTGTCCCGAATATTTGAAGTTGGCAACTCCAGCCAGTATTGTCGGCTGGTCATAAATTTGTTAATATAATTAAATCTACTAGTTAAACATAGCAACTTTGACATCACTATGAATTTTCATTACGAATTGCTTCCTCTAATATTTACATATAGTTTATTTGTTTTAAATTTACGGGTTAATAAAATTCCATATTAAACATCTATTTCTTATATAATATCACTTTTTAGATGGCAACTAAACCTCTAATACAACTAGAAGGAACAAGTCTATTAGCTTTGAAGTTTGACATTGGCATTTTGACATTGACGTTTATAATAACAAAATAAGCGTTCAGAAATCGAGCAATTAAAATGTTAATTAACACATAATAAAAACAATATTCGCTGTTAAATTAAATTATATAATAAAGAACTCCACCGACCCACATAACGGAGTGAAGTCGAGCGGGAATTTTCAATTATTTTCTAGTATTGGCTTATTAATTTAGTCGATATAATATTTTTTATCGCACAATATTAATATTTTATTTACTGTTCGTTCTTCAATACGAAATATTCCTGATAGTTTAAGTTATTCCATAGGATAGTTGTTTTTGTGTTGCATGCATGGATTTTTAATGTTACATAGATGAACATAATAATTTCAGTTAATGAAAAACCAAAGAACGAAAATTCTCTGTATAAAATTTAACGTTGCATCGAACAAGTTTTATTGTTGCGGGAATATAATTCGTCCTTTAATACGAGAAGCGTTTTATTTTTGTAGCGATTGTTATTGATGCGGGCATATCAAAAATCGTTTCCCTGTTTTGCGGTAAACCGCATTGTTGGCACATGGAAGATTACGTTAATAAGCGAACTCGGTGAAATAATTATAATTACAATTGAATCTGAGCTGCTAAATAATACAAAATTATTGCATATTAACATCGAGAAGTGACTATATTATTTGATTGAGTATACCTTAAAGCAGTTTAATCGCTTAGATTTGAACATGCATTAAATGTAAAGCGCTGAGTGATCAGGGTTAAGTGTAACTTTCGATGAAGAAATCGTTTTATTTCAATATACTTTATTGGTTGAATAAAATGTGTGTTTACTTACTTCTGTCTAATGATCGCAGCTATGATTGTGGATATTGTTTTTATAATAAATCACTCAAAAATAAATTATTTTTAAGGAAACAAAATTACTTTATAGAAAAAAAAATGTCAAGCGGCTCTCTCTACCTAATAATTGGCGTGATCCTATCAAAAAACAATCTTAAACAGATCAACATATTAATAGTTGAACTTTTGATTTAATTTTTATTTAGATATATGTTTTTTTTTACCTTTATCGTATGTGTTCGTTTTATATAAATATTGTATATAGATATAAATGTATAATGATTCGTAAATATATTTTTATTAATCGGGAGAGTGTATCTAGTGAATGATGTTAGTCTTTAATGGAAATTATGATATATATGATCCGAATGAATGTTATAATATTCGATTAATTCTAAAAGAAAATGACAATAGCAAAGCAGTATTATCGAAGAGTTATCGCAAGAGACTAAAAAAAAAAAATTATAAAATATATAAGAATTATGATATCCGAAAAAAAATGCAGCTAATTTTTTTAATAAGAAATTAAACAATTTTTGATATTTTTAATTTTTTTTGTTTGTGTTATATCGTTTATTATTAATAGTTTTGTCGAACATATATTTTGTATATATAATTTGTTACACACGTATGCCATAAGACGTATGATTTTATAATAATGCATCTAGAACCAAAATTTAGTTGATAGTTTATTTTCTTTAAGTTCCCGACTGAACCAAAATGTACATAAGTGTTAAGAAACCGAATAAAATAATTGAAAACATACGGCATTTCATTTCAACCAATCCCTGATGAATAATACATTATATACCAATTAAATGTACAGATAGTAAATTATGATTCCTGACACACACACGTTTAGGGCTGTGTGTCAAGTGGCATTAATATTATGTCATAACTCGTTTATTTTTTATCTTTTTAGCTTAAACTCCCAGCTGTGTTTGTTGTGAATGAGTAAATCAAATTTTACTTTTAAGAAATTCAAAGAATGAAATAAAACAATGCAAGCAACTACAACTGTAATTTTTTAAATACAAGTTACAATGACGTAAGAAAATTTTGAATACTCTTGACCCAATAATAATAATCAGTACCTGATCAACAAATGGTGAGTCAAATACAAGTTTAAAATTCGATCACAAATATTTTTTCTTTTTTTAATAGATTAATGTGCAATGAACCGGTAAATAATCGTGATAAAAATAAAGCCAACCCTATCGTAGCTTGAAAGTTGCAAGCTACGTCTTATTAATAAAAAAATATATTAAAAAAATCACGGAAGTATCGGCCTAATTAGTTGTGTAACGTTCATTAGAGGTACATACAGCATTAAGCTGCGTTTAATAAACAGTGTGTCGTAAGTGCAGGAAGTAGGAATATACGAATTTGCATTTATGTTATTAGGCCGCATCCGCCCTGGGATTGGGAACCGTACTAGTCCCATAAAGCTCCCTACAGGAAATGATGTATCCAACGACTTGGTGTTCCGATTTTGTAAATTGATCGTAAGTTAACACTTTGGTAAACCGTTTATATTTGTGGTGTATCATATGCGATTTTAAAGCGATTACGTTAAGTTCTATATAGAAATCCTTGGTTTTATTAGTGGACTTCCTTATTTTATATTATTTATAGAAATATATTTTGTTGAGTAATAGATATCTGTGATTACATCTCACATCACAGATCAGTCATAATTAATCACATTTTAATTAAACTTATTTTTTATTTCAATATAGATTAAATTGAATCGGATCCTGGCAATAAAATATGGTAACGTATTAATTATGGCAATATTTTCAAAGGGAGAAGGATTG